AACTTTCAGCATAGATTTTTTGAAGTGTGCTTGAGCACACTTGTTTTGATTCTTGACCTTTATGTTAATGTTTCAGATTGTTTTCGTTCTCAAGCCTGCTTTGTCAACAAAACCTAAACTTTTATGATAATAACGCATTTCTTAGTCTGAGTTCAGAATGTTGGGGAGAGAAGAGTAGGCAACTAATTCATAAATCGAAAAAGACATCTAATTTTTGATCCTCAAACTTTTTCTTCTCTATCTTCAACTCCTCAAGTCAAAGATAAAATTGGCTCTCAGGATCTTACATCGATGATGTAGAAACAACACTTATAAAAATATTTCCGTAAAAATATCTTCGAAAGTGTGGAAAATAATCAGCTGAGCTGGAAAAGCAAAAATCTGAAACTAATGGATGGAATGCGGAGACGTTGAATTTTTGTTGTGAAATTTTCCACAAATGAACTTATTCATTTCAGTGTTTTGAAGATATTGGTGACTTGAAACAGAAAATAGACTTGTGCTTATCCAAAGTATTAATAATGAAATCGAGAAACGTAGAGTCGAGAGCTGTCGCGCTTGATATTTCTGAGGCGTTTGACCGTATGCTGGCTAAACTTCGGTGCTATGTCTTATCAGATCATTTTTGTGTATGGCTTCCTCATTGGATTCATTGGAAAAAACGAGAATTCGATGTATTTCTTTGCTGACGACAGCACACTTGTCTCGTCATTCCATTTAGATTCCAAGACATCGGCTGTAGATGTACATCTTTACCTGTAGCATCATCAAAAATTACCTTCAACGGAATGGTTACTCCAAAGTGATGGTAGAACAGGTCTCAGCTAGAAGACAGCAAGAACTCCACAAGGAATAGAAGCTGCCACAACCAGTACTACTACTACAGTACTACTACTACAGTACTACTACATCAGAGGATTATCGGAAAGGATAAGACAGATTGGGTCCAATCTGTTATATTTGGACCCAATACTTCTTATCCTTTCCGATAATCCTCTAATGTAGGGAAGTACAAGTACTGGTTGTGGCGTTTCTCTTCCTTGTGGAGCTCTTGCTGTCTTCTAACTAAAGCATGTTCTTCCATCGCTCTGGAGTAACCATTCCGTTGAAGGTCATTTTTGATGATGACTAGTTCTTTTTCGAAACCTTCCTTCGTATTATAGAGCCCGAAGGCACGATCTACTAGAGTCTTGATGATTCTTTTTTTGGTAGAATGATGGTGGTTGGATTCTTGATTCAGAAACTGTTCCTGGTGAGTGAGTTTTCGTTATACAGATGTTTGCCACTTAAGCGTCGGTCCTCTTCATCAATAAGTCTAAGAATGGCAATTCGTTGTGGTCTTACCTCCCCATTGTGAAAGTGATGGAAGGACTTATGTTGTTGATGTGCTCCATTTCTTGTTGATAATATTTTTAATTTTTTAATTTTCAGCTTGTATTATTATTTCTACTTTGACTCAAAGTTGTCTCTCATAATTGCGAATAACTCAGCTATCAATAGCTGACTTTGATAGGTTTTACTATTGACATGGTACTATAATGAAGTTTGATGGAGTTGAGTCTGGAGTTCAAGTGAGACAAAGCAGTGCAAAAGAGGAGATTTCGATTTACATTACTGATCATTCAAACTGAGACTTGCTATGTTCCAGAAGTGCCATGAATCTGTTTTTTTTCCAAAGCATTTGATGCATACAATAAATTGCCAAACATTGTTGAATCTAGTCCATCATTGAGTATTTTCGAAAAATTTCTACTGAAATCCACCCAAAATGCTAGCAAAATAATACTTAGCAAGATAATATCAATAAATATGGTATTTATATGTCATTTTCTTCTATTTATCATTGTATTGGAGCTACACCTATATTGCAATGTATTTTTCAATAGTATATGTGTGTCGGTCGTAATTTTCCAATCAAAAAATATAATTTTTTTTATTTTTTTATTTTTATTATTGGGTATTATATGGATTTTTGGGTATGTCTTTGAGCTCTCCTAACGTATCGATTTTTATCTCCTTAATCGTCGCAAAACGCCGTC